TCTCTAACATTCTGTGATTCTGTGACCTAGAAACTATTTAAGGGTGCTTCTACAGTGGTACTTAGGGACAATTACTGGATTACAAAACATTTCAGTAAAACCAAACAGTAATGTTTGCAAGTATTTTCATCATACCAGCAAGGATATAGTTAGGGGAAAGCTAGGGCTACCCTTTCTAAAAGGAACAGGATCTATTCTGGAAAACACACTTTACCAGAAAGCATCCTAAATAGCAACACTGCATATTTTCCATTGAAATAAAAAAAACAATCCATACTTTTGCAAAAAAAAAAAAAAAGATAATTTATTTCTCAACTATTTATATTTGTAGTAAAAATTGCATTATACAAAAAGCATACAAAGTAAAACTAATACTACTGCTTTGCATTCTTGAAAATATTCAGATATGTAAAATCAAAGATCACGTTTGCTTCATTGGAGCAGGAATATTAGCAGATGCCTGTTCTAGGTAAGCTAATGGGCCTTGAGGCATTTCTGCAGGCTTTTTGTGCTGTACACTGATATCTTCCAGGACCTGTTGCCAGTGTCGCAGTTTACTCAAATGTTTCTGAATTAATGCTTCTTTTCTCTGCAATTCGTTTCTTAATTCTGAAACGTCCTATGGATAAAAAAAAATGTGTGTTATTAAATAGACAGTATTCAAAAGAATAACCACCTCACATAAAGAACATGTAATTTTTTTGTCTTGAGTTTTCAAGCTGATCTTATGCAGATTCTAATAATGGAAAAGTGTCCAATAAAACAGAGGGAAAACACTGTGAATGCACCAGTTCCATTTCCCTAGGTCATGTATTTCAAAGTTCATTACTTCCAGCAGAATCTGACTATCTAGTTTGTTTCTTCAAATTAAACTATAAACTGTGTTCCAACACTCCACGGAGCAGCCACCTTCTCCAGGTTCATAGTGAGAGTCAAGTTCTACCAACTTAAGATACAGCATCATTTTGAGAAACCCAAAATTAATGTGAACAAGGTAATTAACTGTACTGGTACACAGCTTATCTGACCTAGCACAACACAGCTAAAATAATTTAAACATACCTCTTTAATTACTTGCTCTGGTTTCTGGACCGATAGCTGCAGTCTTTTTTGTAGAAAAAAGCATTCAGTTTGTCTTGCAACATCCAGAAATTTCTGGATGCACTGATCAACACCTAAACATAAAATAACAGAACAGAAAGAACAGATTCCAAAACAGAAGTTATTAAGGTGATACTGGTAGCTGTCTGCATGCTATTAAAAACACTTTTCACTGTACTTTCTAGAAAGAAAATCTTCAGGTTTACTAAAATGACATATTTATAAAACCAGGATGTGCATTAAGTCTCTGTATAAAACACCACTTTGCAAACTTTCAGAACTTCTTTTAAAGGTGCAAGGCAACAACTCTTCTTCCCGAGTTTTATTACATTTTTTACAATTATAAAGAGTGATAAAAGAATTTGTGGAACTTGCCTGAATAAAGAAAACATTTCACTGCATGCCCAAGCAACAGGCTCGAAGTAAGGTTCTAAAATATGGCCACGTTTAGAATATTCTGCCTTCATATATTACACACTACTGTGTTGATAATAAAAGCAGTCCTATTCCAGCATATGAATACGACCCAATATCCAGAAAGGAGTTTTCAAAAGCATTTATACTATTTTCAAAACAGCACTTGAGAGTCAGGCTTTGGAATTTTTTCAGACAAAAGTACACTTCTAAACAGCAGTGACGGGCCATTTTTTAGCTTCCAATTTATACCAGTTCAGTATTTGTGCCTCACACAGAGGTGCCTGTCACAGAAGACTTAAAACGTTGCTACTAAGCAATCTAGGCTTTCCCACCTTTTGTTACTGCTTCATAATACATCACGTTAGCTTCCCACTTTCTGAAGCACACATTTCACCGCATGTCAACGCAACCCCACAGAGCCGCCGGAGCCAGCCGGCACTGAGAGGTTTCCGCAAGACCCCGATCGTTACCGAGGGAGTTTCTTCCCCTGTGAGCCTCTCACCGCTGTGCACAGCGTCCCACCTGGGAGGGGTGAGGAACCCCGGGTTATACCAGGGGCACCGTTCAAAGATCCTCAAACAGTTTTAATAAGGCCTCAAACAAAGCACACACACACCACCGGCGAAGCCCAAATGCACCTGCAAAACCTCTACAAGAAGTTTTAGGGGGAAGCTGGCCACACATTTAAGACCCCAGCCGTCCCCTCAGGCCTGCAGAGTAAAACCGTGGCG